GTGCAGTGCATGTGTGGATGTGTGCGCGGGGTCACGAGCAGGCGGCAGCGGCGCGCATGCGCAGGGTGAGGGCAGGCGGTGACGCGGCGGCCGCCCCGCCTGCCTGCCGGCCCGCTCCCGCTGCACGGCAGCCCACGCTGGCCTGCTCCCCCTTCCCGGCAGCCCGCGCGGAAGCATCTCACCCAGAAGGGGAGGGAGAGGGCGAAGACGGCGCCGAAGAAGAGGGTGTAAGACGGGACTTCCCGCCAACCGGCCCCCACCCAGGGCTCCGCCGCCGAGCTCAGCGCCTCCAGCGCGCCCGCCAGCTGTTCCACCAACATGCCGCTGCCCCGCTGCTGATGGTGCTGCTACTGAATGGTGGTGCTGCTGCTGCCGCTGCTGGGGCTGCTGCTGTGCTGTTTAGTGGTGGTGGTGGTGGCTGGCCGCGGTGCTGTGATGGGGAGGCGCTGACGAGCGGCGGGAGGCGGGCAGGGGCCGATGGGGCTACGGCGCCGAGCGGCGGCGGCTATTCCAGTAGCCTCCTGAGTCGTGTTGCAGCACTGGGGCGGCGCTGGCGGGCCGGCTTGGGGGCCGGTTAAGGGCTGGGGTGGGGGGCGAGGGCGTGTGTGCCAGCAGCGGCCCTGGGTTTGCGACCCGTTATGTGGATCGGGGAGGCTTGTCCGAGCGGGTGGCAATGGGCAGTTGATGGGGGATGGGTTTGGAAAGCCCAGCACGCAGCATACACCAGTTTTTGCAAGAACGGTCGTCCCGATCCCCCGATTGAGCTATCTCTCAATTGAGCGCCCCACTGGCCCACGCGGACCAGCAGTGCAAGCGATGGAGCCCGCCCTCTTCTCGCGGTTCCGGCAGGAAGGCTGGAGCCTAAACGAGCAGGTGATGGGGCAGCGCAGGGCGTCCTGCGGGCTGTGCCAGGGAGCCTGGATCGCCCGGGAGCATGCAGGGGATGGCAGTGCTTCCGCCGCCGCTGCCAGCTCGACTGAGGCGCGCAAAACGCCTGCGCTGCTCAGAGTCCTTGCTGCTCTCCTGGTCAAACCCGCAGGCTACGGCCGCCTACCTGGCAGCCGAGTGCGGCGGCGGAGGCGCCCCCAGCTTCCCGCGGGCGCCGCAGACGCTGCTGAACGCCGATCTGAGGCAGGCAAGTGTCGACTGTTTCTTTTGTTGAAGGGGGGTGGCACCGGCGGGGTGTTTGTGTGGCGCATCAGCTGCAGCAGACTGGGATGGCCCAGCGATCCAGGTCAGCAGGCAGCCCAGGGGCCGCGCCCCGCCGGGCGATGCCCTGCCCAGGCCCCACCCCAGCTTTGCCTTGGGCTCACCCCACCCTGCCCCGCAGCTGGGCGTTGCCTGCCTGCCCGAGGGCATCGCCCGGGCCGACTGCAAGAAGGTGGCGGGGCCGCTGGTGCTGCAAGTCAGGTGTGGGTGGGGGGCTGGTGTGTGTGTGTGTGGTGTGTGGGGTGGTG